AGAGTGGGGTCTATCGAACCCTGTTCTTACCTTCATTTGTGCACCGGCACACCAACTGGTGGTTCGGCTGTTAACCAAAAGGTTGGTGGTTTGTGCCTACCCAGGGCCGCCAGATATGTGTTCAGAAAAATAACTTATGAAAAGGCCTCACCGGCTCTCTCACCATATGCATTTGGTGGTCTCACGCCGCATCTACCGCCCCTGGAGGCTGATGGCAGTATGTGGATGAAGGAGGGAACCAGGGCCAGGCTGGTTGGTGTCAGTTGCAGTTTATTCCAATCTCCTCTACATTCTCCTGATTCTCCTGCTTCTCTCTCTCCCAGCCCACTCTTACTCCCTCCTTAAATCCCAAAGGAGGAGGGGTGGGGCTTACACTTAGGTGTGGTCATACAATAAATAGAGGTAAAGTCCTTCCCTCAGGGGAAGCTTCTAGGACAGACTCATCCAGCAAGACCTGAAGACAACCCACCAAAGGGCACCCACCCAAGAGCAGAATCCCGTAGGTGTATTTCTTCTCTCCTTGTCCAACAAACATCTAAACATTCAAAATATTAATTACTTTGTATGGACACAGTAAGAGATGCATTAAGTTTATAGGATTGCTCTCTTGGGGTCATCCTGCTATAGATCTCAGACTACAATGCTCAGGTCAGATTAGTCTTTCCTAACCCTAGCAGGGTCCTAATCTCATTGTTAACCTTTTAGATCATGACAGCATTTGTCCATGACCATGCTCTTAGCTTACAGTTAAGTATTGTGGCGCTTTGGCCTGGCCCATTTTGATGCCAGGATAGCTCACAGCTTGCCCTGGGTGCATTCAGTCCCTCATTGGGACCCTGCTTTTGGGGTACTAGGAACTAAGGACAACTGAGGTGTAAGTTGAGAAAGCAGATGCCAGGAAGCGAATGTTATTAGGAGTCAATTAACTCCCAACTTACAAAAGCATAATATCAACTGTCTTCCTATGTCCATACAAAAAGGACATTGCCTTAAAGTAAACTCTGCATAAAAGACATGAGAAGGAGAAAAGCAATATTTAACTTACAATACAAGTTCAGTGTCCTTAGAAGGATCTGTCCTTCTAAGGTTAACAGAATCCTATTAGGGGAAAAAGGTCATTATTTGGTTGGGGAGGAGAGCACAGAGAAGAGGTTACAGATAAACAAAGGAATGGGAGTGTCTCTAGAGCCCTGTGATGGATGTAACCTGATAAACCTAAGCTCCCTGTGGCAAGGGAGAAAGGACATACCAATGCTATCCTAAAATGTTTAGAGCTACATTCCAACAAGTGGTAGGACCCTTGTCTTGCTTGAAGGAGACTCTGGTTCAATCCGTGGTACCTATAGCATTTGGCTAGCTGTACCACTGAGTATGCCCCAAATAAGTTAGCTTTAGATCTGGACGATAGCTTAAATAATGGGAGCATAAGAGGCCCAATTGATCTCCCAACAACAAACTGGTATAGCTTTCGAGCATCCTTCTGGCGCAGTCCCCCCAAAACAAAATAATATAGCTTACTTTTAAGATAAATTTTTATAGTAATATAATTTGTATTAGAAAAATCTCTTACTAATTGGTGACATTATTAAAAAAATAAGCTTGCAGTTCAATTTATTTTGGGGGGCATGCTTCTCTATGTAATTCCTCGGGCACTTTGTCATACCTACTCATTGCATTCCCCAGTTGGCCCAAGCATGCAGAGCTGCTCAACACCACCATGGCCCCCCCTGGTGGTGGTGGGGAAGCCTCTGGGCCTCTACCCAGAGGTGGTGGTGGTGGTGGTAGTAGTAGGGATGTGGTGCTGTGGTTTGTACTCAATCCCTGCACATCCCCCTGACTGTTTAGCTATTTGCCTGGGTCTTAATGTTTATTCTTTTTCTTTTCTTTTTGATGGGGGAGATTGGATGACCACATTTCCTTCCTTCCTTCTTTTTTTTTTTTTTTTGATGGGGGAGATGGAATGACCACATCTGGTGGTTTTCAGGGCTTATTCCTGGCTCTAATTGAGGAATCACTCATAGCTTTGCTTGGGGCATTGTATGTGTGTCCAGGATTGAACATGGGTCTGCTGCATACAAGGTAAGCGTCCTATCCCCTGTTACTATCTCTGTGACCCTTATTAGTATCTCTTAAACTAAAAACTCGTTGAGACAAATAGGGTGTTTAATATGATGTTAGCATTGAAACATCAACAAGAGGGCCAGAGAGATAAATACATCTGGAAAGGAACTTGCCTTGCACTTCTGGGTGAGACCCCCAAAACCAAAAGAAAAAAGGTCCCCAAAACATCAACAAGAGATACCTAATGGTGAAACATTAGGAAAATCAGTCTGTTTATTTACATTGTCTTGACTGTGCAACTAAATGTAATAAGAAAATGTGATGCAAAAATAATAAATCAGCCTATAGAGACAAAAATAACTAAAGGTTTATTAATTGAAAAAAGAGCAATAATAAAGTTTTAATAAGTGATCTGTTAGGAATTGTAGTAGAAAGCTTTATCCGAAATGAAGATAAAATCAGATAAAAGGGACAAGAGATAAAGTACAGTGGGTATGGTGCTTGCCTTATATGTATCCCTGCCAGGAGTAAGCTGTGAGCACCTCCGGGTGTGCCACCTCCTTCCCAAAAGACTAGAAAACAGAAAGTTTTATTTTAAATGACTATAAAATGTGCTTCAAAATTAAGTTTTCAATAGCATAATAAGATATATAGGACTGCAATAAGAATTTTTGTTCTTTAGTGGATGTTAAAAGATTTTAATAAATATCCTAGCATCATTAAGATATTTTGGGTGCTGGAGCGATAGTACAGTGAGTAGGGCACTTGCCTTGCATGCAGCCGACCCAGGTTCAATCCCTGGCATCCCATATGGTCCCCTGAGCACCTCCAGAAGTGACTCGAGTGCAGAGGCCAGGAGTAAACCCTGAGCACTGCTGGATGTGGCCTGCCCCCAACATCCAAGTGAAAAAAACAGAATAAAACAAATAAAACAATAACCAAAAATAACAACAGAAAAATGTTTTTTTGGGAGCCAGGTGTGTTTGGGGCCACTCCTGGCTCTGCACTCAGGAATTAATCCTGTTGGTGCTCAGGTGACCATATAGGGATGTCCAGGATCAAACCTGGTTAAGCCAGGACAAATGCTCTACTAGTTGTGCTATTCTTCTGCTCCCAGTTTCCCCTTTTACTGTTGGTGCTTGTTTTGATGAGTGATGATTCCCATAGTTCTGGTTGTTGTGCTCACTGAGGGTCACATTTACACGCAGACTCAGTGGTTGGTCACAATTTTTTGTTATAGTGCTTGTACATGTGGTTGCTGAGGACTACACTTTTAGTTGTGGTGTTTACACGTTCTGACAGTAGGGGTTGCTGGTGCCCACACATCGTCAGCTGCAGTTTTCAGACACAGTGGGCTTTGTACTGAGATTTCATTCTTCATTGTGATAATGAGGGAATTCCAGACATAGCCATAGTGACTGCACTTGGTACATAGGGATTGCACTGGGGATTAAACTCATGGTTTTCCATGTGCATGGCAGGTGTTTTGGGCCCTGAGCCATCTGCATGACACCTGAATTTAATATTCCCAAATTTTAAATTGGTTTCCATTTGGGGACCTTGGTGGGATTATAAAGTTTAGATTTTAGAATGCTCTGTAGCACCATCATCCCGTTGTTCATTGATTTGCTTGAGCGGGCACCAGTAACGTCGACTTGTTACTGTTTTTGGCATATCGAATATTCCACAGGTAGCTTTTCAGGCTCTACTGTGCAGACGAAAAAAGGAGTTGGGGCCATTCTCACCCTGATGCTTTGGGGATCATTGATGATGCTTGGGCCTTGAAGTAGGTTATGGCCAACACAGCTGCTTGCAAGTCAAATAAATGCCTTACAATCCTGTACTGTCTCTGGCCTTATAACATTGGTTCTTTACTCTAAAGATATTTAGAATATAAATTTATATTCTAAAATGAAAATATATTTTAAATATAAAGAATATATTTAAAATATATTCATATATATTAATAAATATATAAGAATACAATTGAAAAGACATTCCTTGAAATTGTGTGTGGAAAACTATAAACAAATCTATTAAATAAAGCTTAATTATCTCTCCATAGTACTATGATATGATTGTAAAGAATGTTGAGTCCCATATTCCTTGGAGATGGGGAGGTCATACCTGGTGGTGCTTAGGACTTTCTTGCGGTGCTGCACTCAGGAATCATTCCTGGCAGGACTGGGTGACTTATATGTGGTGCCTGGGATTGAATCGGGTCCATTGTACACACAGCTAGCACCTTACCTGCTGTTCTATCTTTCTGTCTGGTAGTGACACATTCCTTGACCAAGAAAACGTGAGATACATGACAAGGATAGCTCAAGGGGAATGACCACCAGGGAGTAGTGAGTTGAAAATAGCTCCTGAGCACCCATCAGCAGCACCACTCCACCCCCCCCCCACACGTCTACCCCCACCTGCCCCTTGTGCCCCACCCTCTCCTTCCAAAACAAAAAACAACAACAAAAAGACTACCAGTACAAACTGACAGCATCCGGTTATAGAATTCATTTGGGGTCAGGGGGTTATGGCAGTTTCATAACTGGTTAGAAATATGACACTGATTAGGGGGGAAGAAGTAGGAGAAGGCTGAGGTAATACACTGAAACAACTTCTAACTTACAATTAAAAGACTATATAGTGTAGCTGATTATAAGATGCATCTTAAAGGAGAGTGTTAAGATTAATGAAGCAGAGTATGAGCTTGTGACTCAGAATAATCCTAAGAGGAGAAATGGTTAAAGCAGAATTTTTTTTTTTTGGAGTCTTTACATTTGTGAAATGATTCTCAGTATCAGTTTCAAGAAATGTGAAAATGCTTTGAAGGCTGCTTCTTAGAGGTTTATTTTTTTCTCTCTCAAAAAGATAACCTGTAGAATGTTTTCTGTCATTTTGTTGATTTCAGTAGCATATCTTGACATCTTTGTTTCTAGTTTACAATGGATTTTGGATAAACAAGACCTATTGAAGGAACGCCAAAAGGACTTAAAATTTCTCTCGGAAGAAGAATATTGGAAGTTACAAATATTTTTCACAAATGGTAAGTTTTTTAGAAGTCAAAGTGGTAGAGTTGGCTACCTATGAGTTGAGGAAATTTTTGTAATTTGTGATGAACTGTTTTAGTCCTTTCTTAAAATTTTTATTTATATTTATGTATTCTTTAAAAAACATATTCAGGGCCTGAGATAGAACAGCTAGTACAGCTGATAGGTAGGGCATTTGCCTTGCATGTGGCTGACCAGGGTTTGTTCCCTGGTACCATATATGACCCCCTAAGTCCTACCAGGAATGATGCCTGAGCACAGAGCCAGGAGTAAGCCTTGAACACTGCTGGATGTGGCCTCAAAACGACAGAACATAAGCAAAAACTCAGTTTCTTTTTGCGGGATCTTTTTGTTAACATTTAATCAGAGGTTTATTTAAAAGTACTTCACCTCCTCTAGGCCCTATTGTTCTTATTTATGTTTTTATTGCAATATCATAGTTTATAATAGCACTGACCTTATTACTATTTTTATTTTTTTTTGGCAAATAGTTTTGTTTAGGGAAATAGGAGAGATAGGAGAGGAATGCAGGCAGACACAAACATTCAAGAGAGAGCATGAGCTTCTCTACGGGGGAGAAAGCAGAGTTAGTTATGCTGTAAAGTAGAAGAAAGTAATCACACATCTCAGGTTGAGATATGGGCAGTATAACATACTTTTCAACCAGGGTGTGAATGACTCAGAATATAAAAATCAGCCCCCCTTCCCCCCCCCCCCACACATACCCACACACACATCAAATAAGGATTATGCGGAGGTCCTTATTCTTTTAAGTGATCTAAATAAAGCCTCTGGTGAATTTTGCATCTTAAAAATACTCAGGACAATTTCAAAAGTATTCGTTAATCTCTCTAAGCCTTTATAATATACTACTAAGTCAAATTTAAGATTATTTTGAGGATTCATTTTGGATTTTTAATAATAATTCTAAAACTAATATAAAAATTGAAAATAATAAAAATACTTAATCCAACCATTATTTGCCAGTTTTTCTACTTCTTGTTTATTGTATCTTCCAATATTTTTTTTCTGCATCACGATCACCCTGTTGTTCGTAGATTTCCTCAAGCAGGCACCAGTAACGTCTCCTTCTTCCTAGGCCTGAGATTTTAAAAGAGCCATTTCAGTGCTCTTTCAGGATTAGGAGAATGAGACCCATCATTGTTACTGGTATTTGGCATATTGAGTACGACACGGGAAGTTTGCCAGATTCTGCAGTGTGGGCAGGATACTTTTGGTAGCCTGCCAGGTTCTCCAAAGGAAAAATAAGATAATAAGATGTCACGCGGCCGCGAATGCGCTTCCAGGAGCTATGTTTTATAGTTTTCTGCATCTTGGCCATTGATGGGACCAACCTGGCGCTGACGGCAGCTGGTGGGTGTGACGCCTACCTACTGGAAGATGGGAGGTCTGGTTGGAGAAGGCCCAATCCCAATCCGAGTAGGCTCGGAGACCTCAGCCCCGGGACCCGCATGCCTGGGTTCCTCTGCCAGTTCTTTCATGCATGAGGCCCATCCAGACGTGTGGAGAGTGGTCCCAGCATGGCTGTGACTGGCTCCGGAGGTCCTCAGCTGCTGGGGCTCTGCTTGGGGCGGGGGCGGGGGGTGGGGAAGAGAAACTCAACCCTCCCCCCTCCAAGGGGCCCCAGTGAGGACAGCCAGGCATGGGGGCAGGAGACTCTGCATATCTGCCAATATTTTTAAACAAACTGGCAAACATTCATGTTGAGCCACTGTGCTCCAAGTAGATTTTCAAAGCATGTATAGTTTTTTTTTCTTAGGAAAAATTAATATAATCATGATTTAACCATATGGAAGTTACTGTTCAGTGTTAATATTTAGATGTCAGAAGACACATTTAAAGCTGTATTCTTTTTCTTTTAGTTATCCAGGCATTAGGTGAACATCTTAAATTAAGACAACAAGTTATTGCCACTGCTACAGTATATTTCAAGAGATTCTATGCCAGGTAGGATTGTTAATTTGGAGATTACGTTATTCCTATTTAATTTTTAATCTGTTAATGAATCGTATATTTTTTTCAAGAAATATTTCTTATATAAATGATGTTTAATCTTGTTTTTATGTATTTTAGGTATTCTCTGAAAAGTATAGATCCTGTATTAATGGCTCCTACATGTGTGTTTTTAGCATCCAAAGTTGAGGTATGAAATACATGCTTTTTATCTAAATATGGTTAGTATAGTGTATTGATTAATCTGCTCAAGTTTTCATATTGCCTACTTAAAAATAGTAATAGGTTGGGGGGCTAGGGGGATGCTACAGTGGATAGTATATTTGCCTTGCATGAACCCACTTGGGTTCAGTCCCGACATCCCCAAATGGTCCCCCGAGCCACTGCCAGGAGTAATTCCTGAGTGTAGAGCCAGGAGTAACCCCTGAATATCACTGGTGTGGCCACTAAACAACACAAAGATATTAACAGATCAGTAATAAATGCAAAATGAGACAACTATCTACATATTTTTTAGGTTCATCCTATTACTGTATCCTTAATCTCATCCTCTTTCTTTAGGAATTTGGAGTAGTCTCAAATACAAGATTGATTGCTGCTGCTACTTCTGTATGTAAGTGCATAAAGCTTTTGGATTCAGTACTTCAAGGGCCTGGTTTGTGAGTGCTAAATTCAGTTGTAGTGCTATCAGTATCTTCTGGCTGGGACCTGTTATCACTATAATCAGAAGCGGTCATGGTCCTCCCGTTGTTCATCGATTTGCTCGAGCGGGCCCAGTAACGTCTCCATTGTGACACTTGTTACTGTGTTTGGCTTATCGAATACGTCATGGGAAGCTTGCCAGGCTCTGCCATACGGGCGAGATACTCTCGGTAGCTTGCCGGGCTCTCCGAGAGGGGCGGAGGAATCGAACTCGGGTCGGCCATATTAGCTGCGTACAAGGCAAACGCCCTACCTGCTGTGCTATCGCTCCAGCCCATAATCGGAAGCATGAAGGATTATTGGTACTTTGGTGATGGGTGTGGAATCATAATATGCATCTTAAAGAGATATTAAGTTGTACCCCTAAAATGTACAACCTTGTAAATTAGTGTTACTTAATTAAAAAATTAAATAAATGCATAAATTTATCCATATGTATTTATCCATGTGGTTCCCTGAGCATCAGCAGGTACAATCCTAAGTGCAGAGCCAGGAGAAAGCTCTGAGGACTAACAGGTGTGTCCTCCCGGAAAAAAAAAGCTCAAAAAACAAAAGCTTATCCTGTTTTAAAGTTACCTTTATATCCAGTATTTAAAAATGAAAATAAAATTTTTTAAAATTACTTAACAGTATTATCTCTTAAAACATTATCTTTTAAAACCTAAACTGTGTAGTATTATTCATTCAAAAGCATTAAATAAGTGTTGACTAGTTAGTAAGGCCAATTATTCCACATTTGTCTCTATGCCACAACTGCATAACTTTGAGCACATTGCCTTATCTTTGACTTAGTTCTTTATCTAAAAATGATGGGGTTTACCTACCTGTGAGGTATGACATTAAAGGAAAAAGACATCAAACAAGTGAGAATTTGGATTATTTTTTTTTTTTATTTCTGTGATCTTCTAAAAAAGTTTTTTAAGTTTGTGAACTAAACTGATTTTTATATTCTGAGTCATTCACACCCTGATTGAAAAGTATGTTATAATTTAACTCAGTCCTTCCTATGTCCTTTCTTATTGATACCTTTATTTTTATTTGGGTTTTGGACCACACCTTGGGGAGTGCCCTTTACTTGGTAGCATGGAGGACTGTGTTGATATTGGGGATTGAACCCAGGCCTCCTGCATGCAAAGCACATGTTCCAGCCCGTTAAACTACCTCCCTGGCCTTTCTTGTTAGTAACTTTTAAGGATAAAAGAATAGTACTTTGGTCATAGAACTTGTATGCCAGATATACCGCAATGATGAAATAATGAATTGGCAACTAGGAAATTGAATTATTAAGAAATTGAGGAGGGGCTGGAGTGATAGCACAGCAGGTAGTGTGTTTGCCTTATATGTGGCCAACCTGGCTTCGATTCCCAGCATCCCATATGGTCCCCTGAGCACTGACAGGAGTAATTCTTGAGTGCAGAGCCAGGAGTAACCCCTAGGCATCGCTGGGTGTGACCCAAAAAGAAAAAAGATTGAGGAGCTAAAGAGATATTGCAAGAAAAAAGTATAGTCGAAGTTATATCTGAAGTTGTTTGTTCATTGCAGCACTATTTACAATAGCCAGAATCTGGAAAAAACCTGAGTGCGTGAGAATAGATGACTGGTTAAAGCAATTTTGGTACATCTACACTATAGACCAAACATGATTGCCACTCAATGCCTCTTTTTCAAACCACAACACCCAAAAGGAGAGAGACAACAAAAGGGAATGCCCTGCCACAGAGGCAGGGTGGGACAGGGGGATGAGGGGGTGGGAGGGATACTGGGACCTGTGGTGGTGGATAATGGGCACTGGTGGAGGGATGGGTGTTTGATCATTGTACAGTTGAAACCCAAGCACAAAATTTGTAAATCTACAACTGTACCTCATGGTGTTTCACTAACAAAAATTAAAAAAAAAATTGTAAATGATGGAGAATGGGCACTGGTGGAGGGATGGGTACTGGATCATTGTATAACTGAAACCCAAGCACAAAAATTTGTAAGTCTACAACTTTACCTCATGGTGTTTCACTAATAAAAATTAAAAAAAAAAGATATTGCAGGAGATAAGGCATTCTACTTGCACTGGCTGGCCCCAGTTTGATACTGAGCACTCCCAAGGGTCACTTTTGAGCACAAAGCTAGGAATAGGCACTGAGTACCACTGAATGTGAAATACATACTACCAGGTTTAAAAAAATTTTCATGCACAGATAAATTTGTTTGTTTTTGGTTTTGCTTTTTTCCTGTATAATCACATGGCCTTTTCTTGGTGGTTGTGTACTTTTACTGTCTCTTCTTTGTATAAGGACAGCAGTCCTATAACTGAGGTCTCAATCTTAGGACCACAAAAACCTTAATTTCCTCTTCAAAAATTTAAAGATCTCCAGCTATATTACCTTTGGATTTAAGCAAATGAATGGAAAGGTGGGGTATAATTTAATACATAGTACTCAGTAAACTTTAATGATGACTATCTTTATCAATAGCAGTATTGTTATCATTGAACAGATTCATACTAAATGCAATGGTGGATACAAAGATAAAGTATTTAAAGACAAGTAAATAAGACATATAAATTAACTGGCCCACATTCAAAAGAACAAAAGCAACCAATGCTGGCGTGGATGTGGCGAGAAAGGGACACTCCTTCACTGTTGGTGGGAATGTCCACTGGTTCAGCCCTTCTGGAAAACAGTATGGACGATTCTCAAAAAATTAGAAATTGAGCTCCCATTTGACCCAGCAATACCACTCCTGGGAATATATCCCAGAGAGGCAAAAATATATAGTCGAAGTGACATCTGCACTTGTTTGTTCATTGCAGCACTCTTTACAATAGCCAGAAACTGGAAGAAACCTGAATGCCCAAGAACAGATGACTGGTTAAAGAAACTTTGGTACATCTACACAATGGAGTACTATGTAGCTGTTAGAAAAGATGAAGTCATGAAATTTACATACAAGTGATACAATATGGAAAGTATCATGCTAAGCGAAATGAGTCAGAAAGAGAGGGATAGACATAGAAAGATTGCATTCATCTGGGGGATATAAAGTAACAAAGTATGAGATTAATACCCAAGAATAGCTGAGATCAGCACCAGGAGGATTACTCCATAACTTAGAGGCCAGCCGGGTATCCTAGAGGAAAGGGCTGTTCAGATAGAGAAGGGAGCACCAAATAAAGGATGTTTGGAGGATCCTCCCAGGAGGGGAGATGCATGTCGAAAGTAGACTATGGACTGAACATGTTTGCCACTCAATGCCTCTTTTGCAGACCACAACACCCAAACGGAGAGAGAGAACACAGGGGATTGCCCTGCCACAGAGACAGGGGGGGATGGGGGGATGGGGGTGGGAGGGATATTATCCATGGTGGTGAAAAACGGGCACTGGTGGAGGGATGGGTATCTGATCATTGTATAATTGAAACCCTAGCACAAAAAATTGTAAATCTACAACTGTAAAAAAATAAATAAATAAAATAAAGGGAAAAAAAAGACATATAAATTAACTGATACAAAAGAAAATAGGGAATGTAGTGACATTTTGAATAGGAAAAAATTATTTGTTAGATGACCCAGAAAAACTTAAATAGAATTTGGTGAAGAAAGAGAAAATTTTAATCTGGGAAAAGGCAGGAGAAAGATGGGCTGACTCAGTAATTGGGACAAACATAAGGAAATTTTTCTTTTTTGACCTGAATGTAGTACCAGTAAATCTGGCATTATTATATGAGGTAAACTAGAGGAGTATATGGGTCAAAATAAAGAAATTTTGAAATCTTTTATATGCTACAACGTGGGCAAAACTTTAGATTGGACAAACCTATTTCCCTTAGATTATGACGAGAAATAAACCATCACAAAAAGATACTGTATGATTGTACCTTTTATGACGTGCCAAGAATAATCAATAGAGATGATAGAATCAGTGATGGTATAGTGTCTGAAAAGCTGGAACGTGGGGAAAAATGGAAGTTATTTGATGAGTATGGATATAGTTTTGTAAGATGAAAAGAGTTCTGGAGATGGACGACAAAGATGGTTGCATAATAGTGTGAATGCTTGTAATACCAGTACATAATATAGTTCATACAGAATACTTAAAAATGTAGATTGTGGCTGGGAATGTGCTTAAGAAGTAAAGTGTTTGTTTTAGATGCATGAAACTTGAGTTTGATCTCTGGCATCAAAATGGGCCAGGCCAAGCACCATAATACTTACTTTAAGTTACCTTAACTTGTTATGTTATGTTATTAACTTAATGTGTTATGTTAAGTGAAACTATAAGTTAAGAGCATGGTCATGGACAAACTCTCTCTCATGACCCAAAAGGGGTAACTGAATAATGACCCTGCTGGGGTCAGGAAGACTAACCTGGCCTGAGGAGTGTAGTCTGGAACTTATAGTGAGATGTCCTCAGGAAGAACCAAACTTTAAGCTTGATGTATCTCTTACTGTGCTCATACAAAATGACGTTTCTAGAAATAGGGAGTGATAGCACAGCAGTTAGGGTGTTTGCCTTGTACAAGGCTGACCTGGGTTCGACACTTTCGTCTCTCTCGGAGAACCCAGCAAGCTACCAAGAGTATTCTGCCCGCACGGCAGAGCCTGGCACGCTACTCGTGGTGTATTCAGTATGCCAAAAACAGTAACAAGTCACACAATGGAAACATTACTGGTGCCTGCTCGAGCAAATCCATGAACAACTGGGGGACAGTGCTACAGTGCTAGCCTGTACTATTAGTAGCTCAGTGCTGGTGCCCATCCTGTGACCTCAAGGCCTTTCTCCAAATGTATTAGGAGTTTGGACTTCAGTGCACAAATTTGTTTGTTTGCTCTGGAAATGAACTAGGAATAAGTACACGCCCATGGGTGTACTCAGGGCTTATTCCTAGTTCTTCACTCAGGTATCACTTCTGCTTTG